CCGAAAAACTCAACTAAATCGCAATGCAGTGGCGTAATCTCGAAATGGTGATCATTTTCAAAAAGCACGGCTCCGAAAACATATAGAATCTGATATGGAAGAAATCTAAAAAAATTCGCAACGCAGTGGCGTAGATTCTAAAGATGAATATTTTCAAGAGGTGGGGCTCCAAAAATATACACTGACCGGCAAAAAATTCAACCCACTTGATTTTTCCATGTTTTCATCTAAAAATATTTCACCCACTTGTAAAAAAAGTTGTATTTGTATATAATACATGGTATTTGTAGATAATACTTAGTATTTATGGAATTTTATAATCTTTTTTACCTTTAATAATCAAAATGTGATTGGGTAAGAAAAATTAGAAAAAAAAAAATTGAAACTACAGCTACTGCACTATGCGGGCGACATGAGGGGGTGCATTATCGTGCATTAGATAGAACGATCGCCGATTTCGTTGAGGATAGGCAACACATGAGGTTCCAAAATCTCATCTAGATAGCGAATGGCCGTCAAAGACCCTCCACGAACAACAACCAATTCTATGCGGCGTTCCATTGAAATCCCAGCAAACACCATTAAGGAACCACGTTGGAAAGGTTGGCTCTGAGAAAAATTACAGGTTGCATATCTTTTGTTTCTTCTTCTCCACACCCTTTCACGCCCGTCTGGAGATCGAAGAGCGAATCTTGACTCATCTGTAAAAAGTACAGCACTCCATTCGTCCATAGTCCAATGGCTGTGTTCTCAAACAAAATCCAGCCGTTTTACTCTGCGAGTTCTGGTCAACTCTGGTCCTCTTACTGGACGAAAAGCCATTAATCCATACTTATTTAATCTTCTCTGAGCAGTATGTTCAGAAATTTGCACACCTCGAACTTCTTTGAGCTGATGAATCGCTTGAACAATGGTAAGGTGCCAATTATTTATTTGGCACAGCTCTGTTTATATAATACACTAACAGGTAAAAAATTCCACCCACTTGATTTTTTCATGTTTTCATCTAAAAATATTTCTGCTTTGGATTGGTCTATTGTTTTTAATGAATAAATAGGTAATCTTTTTGTTCGTTTTCAATTAGGAATGTTAATATAGAGGAAAATAACCCTTAATCCTTAATTCAATGAAATGATTCTAGATTCCAATGTTTCCATAGTCCAATGGCTGTGTTCTGAAAAAAAAAAAGCCAGCCTTGTTACTCTGCGAGTTCTGGTCAACTTTGGTCCTCTTACTGGACGAAAAGCCATTAATCCATACTTATTTAATCTTCTCCGAGCAGTACGTTCAGAAATTTGCACACCTCGAAGTTCTTTGAGCTGATGAATCGCTTGAACAATGGTAAGGTGCCGGTTTCGTAAAATTCTCAAAGTCAAAAACCGGTCATCCCGTGGTTCTGTTACCCTAGGCCGTCCAGAACCGGGCCTTCTATTGTAAGAACCAGTTTCCCGAAAACGCCTGACGGCGTCTCGTAAAGTTTCATATGGAACTCCGATGGCATTAGCTGCATATGTAATGGAACGTCCATCATCAATAAGTGCCACACCACGCGCAACAACCTCAGCACTAAGAGGCATTTTTAAACTTAATATTAAAAAAATTAAAAGCCGGAGACTAAGAAATGTGCTGCAAGAAACGGCACTGAACCAATGATACTGAATAAACATTTTTATTCCATAGAAAGTAAACATTGGAATCTAGAATCATTTCATTGAATTAAGGATTAAGGGTTATTGTCCTCCATATTAACATTCCTAATTGAAAACAAACAAAAAGATTACCTATTTATTCATTATAAACAATAGACCAATCCAAAGCAGAAATATTTTTAGATGAAAACATGAAAAAATCAAGTGGGTGGAATTTTTTGCCAGTCAGTGTATAAATTAATCCTTATATCGAGGTAATAAAAAACCCTCAAAAAAGTCGCAAAGCAGTAGCATAATCTTAAAATAGAGATTATTTTCAAAAACTATGGGTCTGAAAATATATAAATAGGCCCTTATAAAGAAGAAAAATAAAATTAACGCCAAATTATTCGAAATATATATGAAAAACTGGAATAACAAATAAGAAGATAATAAATGACTTGAATTTATTTATTATCTAGATAAAAGATAAACAGAATTATTCGTTATTCATAGTTGAAGGTTCGAATAAATTATTTGTCATCTATTACCTATTATTTAAGATAAATTTTGCCACTTTCTTCAGCAAATCCTTCACCATTCGTGCTACCTACCTCCTTCTGAAACTTCTTATCCATCTCCATATATCAAACCACGTCCATAAATTCCTTCAAACAACTCCTATTCCACCACCTACTACAAATTTAAACTTCTGACAAGCTTGTAAAAATTTTTAGATTATGTAATTACGTTAACCACCAGCAGTTAATTGTTAAGAGCCATTTTATTTTTATTAATTCACTTTTTTTTTTCTTCTTTCTCAATATTTCTTGTATATAAATTCCCGTCAAAAGTATAGCAACACTTTGAAATATTTGAATTTAACAAAAAGGTCTGTTTTTTCATAATAAAGAAAGAGTCTGAAGTCTATAATAAACATTTTTAAAATGGATATAAAAAAGTTTTATTAAAATAAATTACAATATTTCTTCCAATAAACAAAAAGTTATAAAACTTACTTTTTAATATTTTCCGTTTTTACAATTTTAACTTTTAAATTACAATTTAAATATTTAATTTGCATTTAATAAGATGTATTGTCCCCTCTGGCTTGAATAACTGCTTCCACTCGTCTTGGCATACTTATAAAAAAATTTTGAAGAAAATCTTGGGGTATATTGTCCCACTCCCCCAATACAGCTGCCTTTAGCATTTCAAGGGTAGTAGGAGGTGAATTTCCTGACCAAACCTTTCTTTTGAGATAACCCCAAATGTGCCCGATGGGGTTAAGGTCAGGACTTCTTGCTGGCCAATCAATGGTGTGGATGTTTGTGGTGTTCAGGTACTCAGAAACACATCTTTCCTTGTGAGGACCAGCATTATCATGCATGAGCAACGATTCAGAGCCTATGCATAAAAGGCACTACATGATCTTGAAGAATCATTTCTACATACCTGAAAGTATTCAAGGCCCCTCCTTGGATTGGCAGTAACTCAGTATGTGCCTCCCAAGATATGCCGCCCCAGAACAAGAAAGAACTCCCTCCAAATAGCTCAGTTTCTAGCGTGCATCATGACTATACCGTTCTCCTGCCCTTCTTCAAACTCTTTCACAGCCATCTGGTCTGTTAAGGGCCACTCTAGTCTCATCAGTGCATAGAACTTTTTACCATTCCTCCATAGTCCAAAATTGGTGTTCCCTTACAAATCTCAATCTCTTTATGCAGTGTTCTGAAGAGGACCTTTCACTGGCCTTCTTCAGCTGAGGTTTGACTCTTTCAGTCTTCTAATGACCGTTGACTTCGAGATTGATATCTCACAAACACTAATGATCAACTTTTTAATAGAAAAAGATGTAGAATTACACTTCCGAAGTGCGTGCATTATAATGAAGCAGTCATCTATGTGATTAGTAATCCTGGGACGCCCTGACATTGGTCACCTCGAGTGACTACCAGTCTTTTTGTACCTTTTCATGGTCCTTGAAATGGAAGAATAGTGAAACCCAAGGCGATTAGCTATGTAACGCAATGATTTACCTTCTTCAGAGAGTATAATATATTGTATTATATATTATATATATAATATATTGTGAGTATAATATATTGCGAATAAAATTAATTGTTATAACTAAACTAAAGAGAAAAGAAAGAGCAGACTTGAGGCAAAGGAAAGATAAACATGGACTGAAAGGAAATTTGAAATTAATAAACCAAAATTCCATTATTTGTTAGTAAACAGTGAATAATAATGATGTGCCTAATCCCTAATGTTCCTCATTTAATAAATAATAATATTATAAATATAAAAAAAGTATGGATTAAAGTCAAAACCAAGAAAATCTCGAGAATTATGGGTATTGCAATACTTTTGACAGGGAATGTACTTATATTTTCCCTTAGTAATTTTTGTATATATTTATAGTATATCTATAATTCTGCCATAAATACGGTTACGAAAGTTGAATTTTGTTTACATCCTTGGGTATTATTTAATTAATCCTTACCTTTATCAGGTTATTTTCCTTACATGTCGGGATAATAATCCCAATTAGTTTGTATTTTTCTTTAGCTCAGTTAATATGGAGTTGGGTGATAAAGAAAACTGAATAGTAGTGACCGCCTTAAAAAAGTTGGAAAATGTAGGGCAGAGATTTTCAACACTTTAAAACTTTTGGGTATTAGCTGAAGGTTTGTGTACCGCACTATAAATAGATATAATGAGACCCTATATGTATGCGGCAGACCTAGACCGGTCCATCCCCGCACTGTGAGAACAGCAAATACAGTGAGAGCATTGGCTGCTCGAATCAGAAGAAATCTCATTCGAAAACAACAAATCAATTCTCGGGAAATGGGAATCTTTGTCAGATCAATGTCTCGCATTACAAAAAGTGACCTTAGGATTGGTGCATTTCAAAGAATGACAGGACAAAGGCTAACCACTTCCCTTAAAAATAATAGAGTGAATAGATGCAAAGTGCTCCTTGGCCAATACTATGATTTTTTAAACAGCTAGCTAGCTAATATGATGACTTGAAAGTACATAATAGGAGTCATAAGAAAGATTAAAAGATCAAATTACATCCTCTATAAGCCAAAAACTTCTGAAAGTTTTAACACAAAGAAAAATTCTCCAACAAATAAAAAAAAATAAAATAAGTTATGAAGTAGTTATGTAAAAAAAAAAGGTCAGAATTTGTTAATATGATTTTATACATCATAAGCCACCAATAACCTTTAAGGAAAAAGGTACCAGATAAATATTAATTGCTTTTTAAAAGATTACAATATCAAATTAAGAAATAATTAGAATAGATAATTATTTAAGACCATACATGCTATATGATAATCCATGTATATTAGATTGTACCTTTTGGTGGATATGATGGAGATGTACCACTGTTCAGTCCCAACTGTACAAAGTTATCATCCTGTTTCTTCTAAAAAAAAAAAAAATAATAAAATAAATAAATTAAATATATGCAGGATGTCCCTTAAGTAGAGGGAAATATTTCAAGAACTACAAAAAAGTTTATGTAAATAATGGTCCAATTTTCTGCAGAAAAGTAGGAAATTTAAGTTTTTTGATTTTCAAGTAAGTAGTTTTTTTTTTACGAATTGGAAGTAATAACTAAAATAAATATTTAATTTAAATAATTAACAATTGCTTCACAGTAACCTAGAAAACATTAACAACAAATGAAAGTAGAGTTTGCCATTGTTTAAACTATTCTAAGAGAACTTTTGAACAGATAAACTTAGCTTAGTTCTGTTATTGATAAAATCGTGAATTATTTGCAATTTTTTTTTTTATCATCCTCCAACTATACTACATAGAGTCCAATTTAAAAAAAAAACTTCCTTGTTTAAGAGACCAACTAAGTGTTTCTTACCTTAATATTTACGTTTTCTTAAAATAATTCAAGTAATAAACTAAAAAAATATTCGCAAAATATCTTATAAGAGAAAACAAAATTAAATAAAAATCTTCTAATGGATAAGTATCAAGTCTCGAATATATAAAATAAAATACATCTGTTATTTACATAAATTTTCAAATACATTTAGGTAACAGAGAGGGATTAGCCAAGAGAGGGATTCAATTCAAGAGACAAATAAAATAATAATAACAATAAAAAATAAAAAAATGAGTATGTATGTGCTGTATAACATGTATATGCCAAATATGGAGATTTTTATTTAAAAAAAAAAAAAAGAAGAAGAGGTATTTTATCCGGTATCTGATTGTTGATAATTTGATAAAGAAATGTGCCCAGGAAATATTGTCTTTGACCTTTCAATTCTGCTATATATTTTATAATGCTCCTTAGGAGAAGAGCCATTCAAACTAAGAGTAGTGGTGCAAGACACAAGAGTTTCCGATAACAAATCTTATGATGCTTTTCATAAGTCTTTTTAGTATATCACGCGGCTCCATCAAACATCACACAACTAAAGTCAAAGTGAGGGAAGATGAGGGAGGAAACCAGGAGACTGTGCGTATATTGTGGTAGGAGATGGTGAAAGTGATGGAAAAGTTTGAGAGTAGAAATTTCCCATCATAAGATAGGCTGATGGATAGAAGGTGACGGGTTGGTCATTTAGGTATAGTATAGGATCTAAGGGCTTGAAACCAATAATAATGGCCTGAGTTTTAGCAGTATTTAACCTTAATCCATTTGAGTTTGCCCAGGCATTGATTCGATCTAGGTCTTCTTGAATCTTGACAAACACTACTAATAACTTAGAAGGATTAAAGGAAAGGTGTATTTGAGTTGTCTGAATAGAGATGATTGAAGTAATGAAGGATTGATTCCTGTAGGTCATTAATATAGAAGGTGAAAAGAAGAGAAGATATGCTTGAGCCCTGGGCGACTGTAAAGGATAAAGAAAGATAGGTAGAAAGTGGTTGATTGGGGATGGAAACTGCTTGGGTATGTTGAGAGAGGCAAGATAATGATTTTAATTTTTTAAATAAGATGGAATGGTTAATGATATCAAAGGCCTTGGAGAAGTCAAGAAGTATAAGGACAGTTCATTTTTTATAAACTATTGAAGTCTGAAAATCACTAATTTATTGTCAATAAATTATATCTTTTCAGATTTCTTCGATATATGAATATGTTCTTATGTTATCGAAGGCTTAGTTTTTAATTTTTAATATAAAACTAAACAATTTAATGTAGCAAATAGTTACTAAGCTATATAGATTTCTAATCACAATGATGAAATAAAGTTAATATAAGCAACTATTTGCGAAATTAAATTATTTAGTGTTTTCAAAAGCTACACCTTCGATAACATAAGAACAGACCAATATATCGAAGAAATTCGAAAAGTTAAAATAAATCGATACGCAATGGACTAATCTTAAAATCGATAAGTGTTTTCAAAAACTACGTCATCCGACAACATAATAACTGACCCATAAATCAAAGAAAATTATTTGATCAGCAGCTGTAAATGCAATTATTTATTTGGCACAGCTCTGTTTATATAATACACTAACAGGCAAAAAATTCCACCCACTTGATTTTTTCATGTTTTCATCTAAAAATATTTCTGCTTTGGATTGGTGTATTGTTTTTAATGAATAAATGGGTAATCATTTTGTTTGTTTTCAATTAGGAATGTTAATATAGAGGACAATAACCCTTAATTCAATGAAATGATTCTAGATTCCATGTGGGCGTGCATTATCGTGCATTAGAATAGAAGGATCGCCAATTTCGTTGAGGATAGGCAACACACGAGGTTCCAAAATCTCATCTATATAGCGAATGGCCGTCAAAGACCCTCCACGAACAACAACCAATTCTGTGCGGCGCTCCATTGAAATACTAGCCCACACCCTTAAGGAACCACGTTGGAAAGGTTGACTCTGGAAAAAATTACAGGCTGCATATCTTTCGTTTCTTCTTCTCCACACCCTTTCACACCCGTCTGGAGATCGAAGAGCGAATCTTGACTCATCTGTAAAAAGAACAGCACTCCATTCGTCCATAGTCCAATAGCTGTGTTCTCAAACAAAAGCCAGCCGTGTTACTCTGCGAGTTCTGGTCAACTCTGGTCCTCTTACTGGACGAAAAGCCATTAATCCATACTTATTTAATCTTCTCCGAGCAGTACGTTCAGAAATTTGCACACCTCGAATTTCTTTGAGCTGATGAATCGCTTGTACAATGGTAAGGTGCCAATTATTTATTTGGCACAGCTCTGTTTATATAATACACTAACAGGTAAAAAATTCCACCCACTTGATTTTTTCATGTTTTCATCTAAAAATATTTCTGCTTTGGATTGGTCTATTGTTTTTAATGAATAAATAGGTAATCTTTTTGTTTGTTTTCAATTAGGAATGTTAATATAGAGGACAATAACCCTTAATCCTTAATTCAATGAAATGATTCTAGATTCCAATGTTTCCATAGTCCAATGGCTGTGTTATGAAAAAAAAGCCAGCCTTGTTACTCTGCGAGTTCTGGTCAACTTTGGTCCTCTTACTGGACGAAAAGCCATTAATCCATACTTATTTAATCTTCTCCGAGCAGTACGTTCAGAAATTTGCACACCTTGAAGTTCTTTGAGCTAATGAATCGCTTGAACAATAGTAAGGTGGCGGTTTCGTAAAATTCTCAAAGTCAAAAACCGGTCATCCCGTGGTTCTGTTACCCTAGGCCGTCCAGAACCGGGCCTTCTATTGTAAGAAACAGTTTCCCGAAAACGCCTGACGGCGTTTCGTGAACTTTCATATGGAACTCCGATGGCATTAGCTGCATATCTAATGGAACGTCCATCATCAATAAGTGCCACACCACGCGCAACACCCTCAGCACTAAGAGGCATTTTTAAACTTAATATTGAAAAAATTAAAAGCCGGAGACTAAGAAAAAGAATCACGAATAGTAAAATACGCAATTCACAAATGTGGAACTCATCTGTATTTTTGTATTCACTGACGTTGAAAACTTTCAGTTATCAAATCAAGATTACTGTATTTTGAAAACAGTTGTGACGAAAAATAAAATACAAAAAAAATTAGTTCATAATGTATTTTTATTACCTCGAAGAGGGTTAAATAAAATTAAGTAATTAGTAGTGCTGCAAGAAACGGCACTGAACTAATGGTACTGAATAAACATTTTGATTCCATAGAAAGTAAACATTGGAATCTAGAATCATTTCATTGAATTAAGGATTAAGGGTTATTGTCCTCTATATTAACATTCCTAATTGAAAACAAACGTAAAGATAAATGATAAACAAATGCTTGAACATAGCTATTTTGATTTGACTTAAAGTTAAAAAAAATTGAAGAATATTGCAAAAATTGTGAAGTATCAATTTCATTAAATTCTATTTTACAGTTAAAATTAATAAAAATAACAATTCAAATAATAAGAAAATTATAATGGCAGCGCAATTTGGTAGGCACTCTATATTTGGAAAAGGGTCATATACATGCATTTTTGCACTAGTTATTGTTGAAAGGTATAACGTAGCATCAATAAATTTTAAGTATGTATAAACTTTCTTTTTATGTACTTTTTAAACTTCACTCATATTCTTATATTCCTTCTTTAATTAGTTTTGATGTGACTAATGAAAAAAATGGTTACGTTAATACCAAACAAACATAAAATTGAATTTTTTTAATGAATTTTTGTTCCATATATTTAAGGAATGAAAACATACGTACATAAGCATGTTTATTGAATGCGTACATACAAACAGTAATAGAAATTGTTTCATTTCGTGATTTTTTCGTAATCACGAATAGTAAAATACGCAATTCACAAATGTGGAACTCATCTGTATTTTTGTATTCACTGACGTTGAAAACTTTCAGTTATCAAATCAAGATTACTGTATTTTGAAAACAGTTGTGACGAAAAATAAAATAAAAAAAAAATTAGTTCATAATGTATTTTTATTACCTCGAAGAGGGTTAAATAAAATTAAGTAATTAGTATTAGTTTTAATAATAAGTATTAGTTTATAATAAGTCTTAGTTTTAAGTATTAATTTTATTTCAGATTGGAATAACCAACAGATGATTGGGAGAAAAACAAAAGACAGTTTAGAGTTAGATGGTAGAACCTCGCGAGTGTAGAGGCACGCTAAGGATTTGTATGTGTGAAATACTTTAGTTTTACGGTGTACACCGGATTTTTCTTTGTATTTAATCCATATAAAAGGATCTAATATAATTTTGTCGGGTACGCTTTTTATTAAAATATGGTTGGATTTGATATTGCGCGATTATTTATCATGTTTTTCATAAAAAGTGCCCCGACAACATAATAGTATACCCTAATATTGAATTAATCAAAAGTTACAAAAACTTGATGCGTGATTATACGACCTTCAATTCGATAGTATTTTCATAAAAATTACCCACTGCAACATAATAGTGGACCCTAACATTGATTTGAAAAATTAGGAAGAAGCAATTTTAAAATAAATTTAAATTGTGTAATTTAATTTATTTTTTGTTCAAAAAAACTCTCTTAATAACTTAAAGAAACCATATTTAAAAAAAAAAATGTGAATTAACTTTTTTATTAATAAAATTAATAATTTCAAGGAAATAACTTATTAAACCTTATTTTATATTCTTATGTTCACTGTGACCTGTGGGCTTAGATATAATTACGCTCTTTGGGATTAAGATTACTGCATTATTTTAATTCTTTAAGTTTTCTATTATTGCTAATAATTTTGCTGAATGCTTATTTAAATTTAATTAAAATTCTAATTTATTAATTATGTCAACATAGTACTGCCCAATCTTCTTAATATCCGTTTTGAAATTAACCACATTTTTAGTTATATATATATATATATAAATAAGTTATTTCCTTGAAATTATTATTATTATTATATATATATATATATATATATATATATATATATATATATAGATTCCAGATACTTTATAATTTTATTATCTTCCATTCTATTTAAAATTTAAAAAAATATGATTATTCATGATACTATGCCTTGCTAGAGCTGTGACATTGATATTTTTCGAGTTTTTAGTGTTTATTTAACATAAAATTTTGTTATTAAATGTTAATATATTCTATTTTGCCAACTTTTGAGAAGTTTCCTTAATGTAAAATTTATCTATGCATTGCTTACAATTAATTTTATAAATAACATTTTGTTTATTCTCTTTTTTAATTTTATCCTTCATATTTGTAACATATTTGTTTAATTAATTATTATTATATACACCAAATTTTATATTGTTATGGTCATATCTTTTGAATGCATGTTTTATTTTATTAGTTATTGCTGGTATATATTTCAATTTAAAACAACTGCTCATTTTCATCATGTTTTGTGTCTTATTTTTGTTATTTTCTTCTTCACTATTATCCTTCTCATTTTCAATGGTCCCCCCTTTTTTTTTGTCATCACACTTTATTTATTATTATAATTGGTTTTCTTAGCCCTGAACTTCAGGTCGAAACGTCGGCATATGTAAAAAATAAATATTATCATTTATTTTTGCCTTCCTTTTTTGACTGACCACCCCAACTATTCTTCTCTTCATTTATTATTATAATTATAGCTTTTTTAAAAATAAGTTTTCATTAAGTAACTTATTACTTTTATTAGCATTATTTATCTCCTGATAACTTTCATACCAAAGCCTTTTAATATATTTATAGGGGTAAAAATTACTACACAAAATTTTAAAATTCCAGTTTTTATTTCTATTAAATATTTTTCATCAGTTAACATTATAGATTTTTTTATTATGTTTTATGCTGTAGTTTTAATTTGATGCTTTGAATAATATATTTTTTATAAATTTATGCAAGAATAAATTATTATTCAGTGATGATGTAGAGATATTAGTTGTAATATCGAAACGATATTAGTTGTAATGTCGTTATCCCAACGATATTACAACAAATGTTATCCTATTAATCTTTCAATTTATTTATTTCTTAACATTTAGTCCCGTTATCTGTTTACCTACAGTTATCAAATGTAACCTCCACTAGCTTGTTATCCACTGATATCTTATTATTATGTTATCTTATTCTTATTTTAGCTTTAATATATCAATACTTATTCAATTTTCAATCTCTTTATTGGTAAACATTCATTTTCTTTATCTGTTAACCTACAGTTATCAAATGTAATCTTTATTAGTTTGTTATACACTCATTCCTTATCTTTTATCGCAATCTGTTTACTTTTAACTTACATGCTATATATAACCCCATGATGGTTTTATTTTTCAGCCACCAAAGAAAGATGTACAACTTAATACATAAAAAACAAGATAAATATATAATCCTCAAATAAACAATATCAAAAAGTGTCCTATTTTTTAAAAATAATGATGCTAATATTTCAACAGAAAAGTTTTAACTTAAAAACTAAACAATGTTTTGATAATAGAACTTTCGTAGAAGAATGATAAAAAATGAATCATGTTTAATAAAAAATTATGTAATACTTTCTAACCTCAGCATAAGGACTTATGGTTAAAGGAAATCCAACACGTGCATCTACAGGTTCTTTGAGCTGATAAACATTAGCTTCTTTGGCTATGTATTGTTGAAGTTGTTCAAGATTATCAAAACTACCATTCTGAAGTAGAGCAGCTATTTCAGGATTGTTCTAAAAAGAAAAACAAAAAGTTAAAAAAAGTAAGTATACAAAGTATTTCTAAGTAACACAAGAAAAATAAAAATAAATCAATTTATAACCACTGACATAATTAAGACCGTTTCATTTTAATGACTCTATTAAAATGAATCAATCTGTCTACAAATATATGTAAGTGCAATGATGTTATCAATCAGTTCTTCATCTGCTCTCTAGGTTAGTTTTTTTAAATCAATTAAAAAACTGTAATATCGGAAACATAAATAAATGAATAAATAAATAGGAATATTTCTCATGTAAGATTATTAAGGCCCGGATCTGAAGATCTAAATTTACCAAGAATAATATAGTAAAAAAATATTTGTAGAGCTTAAATATTGTTTAACACGAAAAACATAAATGGACATGGTAAAACTGAGTAGCAAAATTAAACCATAATGTTTACAAAAATTAAATTTTAAGAACTAACAATTCATAATAAAAAGCGCAAGTTCCTAAATTCAATGCTAATTCTATCGATTAAATCTAGCACCAATGAACAGCGATTTATGCTCAGTTTAGGCTCAATGGCCTGATGGGTTCCATCGGAAGGTCAAAATTTCTGAAGGATTACCAACCAAAGACATGAACAATAAAAATCTGGTGTGCACAGCACATAACTTTCACTTACTACCCTCTTCTTATCAGAAATTAGAATTTTCAGACAAAGGAGAAGTGAAAGTAAAAAGTAGTAAAATTATTGACGCTGTATTTATTTCAAATTCATTGTGAGTATTTTTGTTTGTTTAAATACCCTTATATATATATATATATATATATATATATATATTTAAACATAACCATTTAATTGGGAATAAGGTCACTTATTAATTATTTAATAAACTACTGAATGTTCATTTCCTCTATGTTTATTGACGTTTCGATCCCGGTAATTTTCTTTTTATAAGTTAACAATGGGATCCTCTTCAAAGTTTTAAAAATAGAGCTTCGATCAGGCCAGGGACACACCGACAGTCTCAGCACCGTCCACTAGCACATATATGTATGAAATAGAATAGCACATATATGATAGCATTTATGAAAACCGCATATGAATATTAACATAATTTTGTCGGAGTCCGTATTATATGAAGCTCATGTTACGTACGTATGGAAACCTATTGTAATCTTACAGGTGAGCACATGTTCCTTTGATTCCTCTATTACAACTATTATCCGTTAAGATCTCCTTATTTCTCCTTTAGTTAATTATTAAATTCTTTCATATTTTATATTTAACTATCTTTTATAGTAGAGATTAATATGAAATGGTTAATTATTTCAAATAAAAAAAAAATAAATAAAGGACTTCAGGGGAAGCCTATATTGAAAATTAGCCATTTAAGCTCTGATAGAGAAAATCAATGAGAATAAAACCTACATTATATTAAAAACTGCTTAATAATACATTGATATACTGAGTTTAATCAAAATTTTTAGAGCCGTTTTTGAGAAAATCGTAAAAATGTGTTAAATCAATTATATGAAGTACCACTTCCGGTTTGCCGATTTTGACCAAAATGTTGCTGTAGCATCGAAAGCTTATAAAAACCTTAAATATGCAATTTCACTTTCATACAACTTTTCATTTTTGAACTCACACAGACCATTTTGCAAGACTTGGTTATTTGGACTCAGGAGACCTCAAAACATGTATTTCTGTTAAAAACTCAGACTCAAAAATTTTCACGACTGCAATACTTACCCTTACCCCTTACTATATATTGCATATATAGGTAAGTGAAAGTAAAAAAATGTTTAAATAAATACCCACCCACCTACTGAATTGTTGAATATCAAAACAGATATAAATAGCGCAAGTTCGTAAACCAGGCATTAGGCTCATTGGTGGTGTCGTTTTGTTCAGGTCAGAGACTGATTCGATGTCATCGATGAGCTCAGTACTGAGTTTGGGAATTTTCACAAATAGACAGAAAGTAAATATATAAATATAATAATAATAATACTTTATTTATTCTGGGACGAGTCCCTTTAGAACAATAAACAAGAACAGAAATGTGGGCTGAGCCTAAGAGATATACAAGTGTATTTACAATTCTACTAAACAGATAAATATAATAGAAAAAAAAACAACATAAAGTTACCTTTTAACTTATATCAATAAAAAAAAAAAAAATAAAAATAAATGAAAGAAACATAAAATGAAGTAATTGAAAACAAACTAATAATATATATTCATATTTACAGGAATATCTATTTACAATTTTATGGGGACTGGATGGGAAAGAAGTGATTGAATAGGTGGGATTTAAAAGTAGAGAGGGTATTGGAGCGATGGATGTGGGGAGGGATAGAGTACCATAAGGTTGAGGATCCAATAACAATATCTATCAAAAGCAGCAGTTCGGTGGGCCATTGTATATAAATCTGAAGACCAAGAACAGGTATTGCGGGAGTGAACTGAGGATTTGAATTGTAGGAAATCAGAGATGTATGAGGGGCAGCGGGATCGAATGATTTGAAACAAGCAGGATGCCAGGAAATACTTAAGACAGTAGGAAGGACTTCAACTTCAAACATGAACCATTGGTGATTCAATCGATGAATAAATTAATGCACTGAATTCTATCAATTTATTTATTATATCAAATTAAACGACTGCCAAAAAAACCAGTGTTATAAAGTTTGTACTAGACTTCTTTGCCATAGCAAAATTGACCCTTTTCTGTCCAGAATTGTTACTTGCAATGAAAAGTGGATACTTTATGATAACAATAGACGTTCTGGACAGTGGCTCAACAAAGGAGAATAGGCAGAACATTTTCCAAAGCCCGTAACTCTTGATTTGATACACTACAGCTTCTTGAATCCTGGAGAAACCATCAATGCCGAATCGTATTCTAAACAAATTAATGTAATGCATCAGAAATTAGCAATAATGAAGCCATCTTTGGTCAATTGCAAGGGGCACATTTTGTTGCATAACAACGCTCGGGCACATGTCTCACGTGTGACGTCACAAAAACTGTTGGAGCTTGGATATGAATCTCTGCCTTACTCTGCTGACCTCTCCCATACGGATTATCATTTTCTTACATACCTGGACCACTACTTATGTGATAAAAAATTTATTGGACAAAGGGAATTAGAAAATGAGTTTTTGGAATTTATCAATTCTAAAGATGGGAAATTCTATTCCGAGGGAAACTTTGTCCTCAGGAGTGGCCCAGAGCTGTAGCTTATCTCCATTTTTATTTTATTTCCTAAATCAACAACCTCTATAAATCAATTCTCCATTGTTCCCATCACCTCTATGTCGATGATTCCCAAATTTACCTTTCCTTCCCTTCCTCTGAGTTGCATGACGGGTTTGCGGAAATCTAAGAAGCTCTAAATTGAATCAGTGCCTGGGCATACATAAATCGATTAAGGTTAAATGCTGATAAAACTCTGGTGGCCATTGTCATTGGTTCCAAAACCCTCCTCGAATCCATTGTACTGAACAATCTTTGCGAAAAAACCTCATAGTTTTTTGGATATTCTAAGAAAACTAAAAAAATATCAGTTTTCTGTTCTTCCCACCCTTCCAACAACAAAACCCGACGCGGGATTCTTTGGGACTTTTTACCAGCTATTAAGGGGAGGGTAATGAACAATTTCTGACAAGTTTCATCTTTATTTTTTTAATTTTGAGGTAACGCTGTTTTCTCCCCTAACTTTACTGGACTAATATAGCAGAGTCTCCATTTTGAGAAATGCGATTCTATGAGAGAAGATACTCTAAATCATTTAATAAGAAATACTCATCATTTAAATTTTCACCAACTGTGGCAGTTCCTTTTTCATAAATCCACATGCCCGAAAACAATATCTAATTGTTCTATCAATGACATGCAATTTCAACTCTTAAAATATATGTTTTTGTTGATGGAAGAACAAAAAACGTTAGGAGAAAGCAATTTGTTTTTTAGCACCGGCCGCAGCTCTAATATCTTGTTTTTCCATGCTGAAAATACATTGTTTTGACTGTCTCAGAGATATTTTCATAAACAAACAGAAAAATAAAATCAAATTTGTCAAAAGAGAGTGCTGGAATAGAAACAAAAAGTAAACAAACGGAAATTCATAGAAAGAGTAATCACTCACTCACTCTCCCCTCCTTCTCTTAAAAGGACTAAGGCCTAACAAGAATTTTTTTTACAATTATAAATATAAGACCTTTTATTTTATTTATTTATTTATTCATAAAATTTACAACTGTATAAATTAAATAGACATCTAGTAAATGTGTACAGAGACATACAATATCATGAAAAGTATTATAGAGAATCTAACTATTTGTAGCATTCTAATAAAGTATCTAAATTAGGAGTTCAGCAGGCCATCTTCTTTTCAGACACTCCACGGGGTTATTAGGGATCAAAGAGGAAGCAAGGTTAGAAACAAGAAGATTAGGATGGTTCTGAAGTTTATTGTGGAAAGATAGGAATCTGGATTTGGCCAATTCGGAAGCATATGGAACATTAAGATCGTTATAGATAATATATAAGACCTTTAAAATGATATGAATAAAAATCAACAAGGAAATCAAATTACATTGCTTTCATAAGAATTGGAGGGAGAATTTCAAAGGAACAGCGAATCCATACGGATTATTGTGATTTACAAATTACCGGGATACAAATTATTGGGATTCTACAGTATAATATATCTTTTTTTCTTCTTCTTACCCTTCCTTGCCTTTTAGGCTATATCCGTTCTTTCCCAGTCCAAAGGGTGAGGGTGGGGGATTAATGCCAGAGTTAAAATGATATTTGAACACGTAAACTTCAGCTTATCACGGATTGGGTAATCCATTTTTATACAAGTGTTAGTCAGTTCAATCCTCCTGCCTACTATAATATAATTTCTCGCAACATAAAAGAGATTAACCATAATATTGGCTGGTGCAAAAAAAATTACAATACTTGAACTACTATGTTAGTTTTCAACTTCCCTAAATAGACTACACT